TGGGTGACTTTCATGGAGATGCAGATAATTGGAACATATCATTCATTTTTCTGAATGCCTCTTTTAATGAAAAAAAAAAAGGATACATAAAATTGGATTGGAACAGTGGGTATTAGTGCAGCCACCTCTGCAGTTTGGTGGTTTTTACCAAACAACGAGAAGGATGACATGTAATTGCAAAATATTATTTATTGCATGCATACATATTTTACATTTTAATATCCTAAAAATTAATCAAGAAACCTTCTTATAAATGGGTTTTTTCTCTTAGTCTGGTGGAAATTTTATGTTATTGCTTTTTTATAAATAGGTTCAAAGCATTTGCTCCCTTCAGTTATCTTGTGGGAGAATACTGTATTCCTGAAGAAATTTTAGCCCATTTTCTTCAATTGCAGGTATATCTCATAAGTGCATATTTTAAATTAAGTTTTAAGTCAAAAATATCAAGATCTGTGTATAAAAACTGATGGACTTTGGAATACAATAAAAAATAGCTCGTATAAGAACGATTCCGTTGCTTTTTAAAAACTTTAAAAAATGTTATGTGCATGCCTCCCATATTTTGCATATTCTGAAAATTTGGCAGCTTCTAAGATTGTCATACTACTACATAACAGATGGTGTGCTGGATTATATTGAAATAAAAATAGTTGATTATGAACCCCGGTTAAAGAAAAAGGTAGTAAGGAGAGAAGAATTTGAATTTTGAGTTATCAAATGTTTTGGAAAATAGTCTTTAAAAATGTATGAGACTTTGCATAGATATGGCAATAGAAAATTATAGGTATGTTTAGATCACATATTGAAGGCGGTGTTTTTAGTTAATGTGTATTGTGATATTGTTTTTGATTTTATTGTTATTTGTGCTTTATATGTGGTTTATGATTTTATCTATTTGTTTATTTATTTATTTCTAATTTTGTATTACTTTTCAGTGGCCCTAGGTTATGGTTAGAATTCTTGTATTGTTCTAATTCTTTATGTCTAAGAAGTATTGCATGTTTGTTTTTTAAATTTCTGTTGTGCATCCTTTGATTAACTGCTTTAATCTCTTTCTTTTTAAAAGTTTAATTATATAGTACTTTGGGGGAATTCATTAAATATTATAGTACCCCACCAAGACCATTGGCCAAGTAATTAAAAACTGCTGAATACTAGGAGTTTGTTCCAGGTTCAAACCCAGACTAACAGACTGGCTGCATAATTAGTTTTCGTGGTTTTCCTCGTGTGTCTTGTGAACACGAGTAAGTTTCCTGTATAGTCTCCACAAAGGCATTTTCCCCTTTAAACAGATAGCCCTTGTATGTTTTGCCATGCCATATTCATGTAACCAACTCCAAAATATTATCATTATATAAAAGTAAAAAGTCCTATCCAGTTATATTAGGATTGAATTCTTTTAGTAATAAATTGTAGTAAATCGATGGAATGAAACTCTGAAAAATTTACCAAACTAATCATTTTTAAAGCCTTTGGAATACAATATTTCTTTTCAGTATTTGCTCAGAAATGACAGAGGAATTTAAATGACAATGGAATTTGATTAAAAATGTCTGCTTTATGATGGTACTAAATTGATTAAATGTTTTAGGGACTGTGAGTTAAATTCTTATATTTTAGAGTAAAATTTTAATAAATTTGATTTGATCATCATAGAAAGCATAAGCTGTTGTTTAAAAAATGTTGAACTCAAGTATTTGTTTTAAATGGTTTGGTATTATCCCAATTCAAAGGTAATTCATTTCAAGCCATATTGGGGATAATAATGAACCCTATGTAAAGCAGATTTTTCATTCAACATACATTAAATTCATTGAAACTTAACTGACATATTTGCTGCAGTAAGACATTATCAATCAGTAATGAAATATATTAACTTCATACATTGTATTGTTAATAAAGTAAGGCAAAACTTGTTCTACATTACAGTATATTGGCTTTTGCTTGGGTATATTAAGTAAGGAAGTCTGAGAATTTAATTTGATAAGTTAGAAATTAAGACATTCAGTTCTTGTACTGTATAGTGTAATAAATTGTTTTAATAGATGTAAGGAATAAAATTATTTCTTTTTCGAATGAGCAATAAAATTAGGGCTGCAAATTTTACAAGAATTTATGTGTGTGTAACATAGAATAACATAGCTGCCAACTTCCCCAGGTGGACCAAGACTTCGGTGTTTCATCATTTCTCCATCTTCTAGCATATCACCGAATCTCCCAGTTTTTAACTTTTAGGCTGTCCTAAGGAAAATGTTTCCGAACAATAAATGAAACTCTTTGCTTTAATGAACCTCATTCCTCCACCCCTGTTTTCAGTGTAATTTTCTTATTAAATTTCATCTAAATTGTTTTAATCTACTGTAGATACTTGTAGAATTTTTATGAAGGTTCAGCCCATGATTAATCAGTTAATATTTCTATTTTATTTGGTTTTACATCTATATATAGTGCATTACTAATTACTTGTTTATCCACACATTAATTTTTAAAATGGTTATTTATTTTATTTTTATGGTATTTAAAAGTACTTTGACAAATAAAAGCTTTCTTCCCTACTCGGAATTTTCACAGTATAAAAGTGTAAGAAAATTACAATGTGAAATTATCCAAAGAATATACAATTTAGGCTAATCAAATATTAATATATTTTATATCAGAAATAATGTTATAAATGGTTCAGTGACTTGAATCTTGCATTATAAAATTAATTTTAGTCAGCTTGGTCTTCTTTTGAAATGTCATTGCCGCACAGTTCAGAAACCTCTTCAAAACTCCCTAGTTTTTTTTTCATTTTCAATGTTGGCAGCTTTGGAATAAGAAAATTTCCTTTTTCAAGAAGACTTAACTGTGGGAAAACTTATAGTGGTATTCAACAACATCTATGCTTAAGTAATCACAATGTCTGTGATGAGGAGAGAAACAGGATCTTGGTGTAGACAATATGTTGATGGTGTGATTTGGGTTAAATTGAGGGAATAGATCAAAAATTTCAGATTCATCTTTTTTAAAAGCTTATGGAAAACAAAAATTTAAGGCTTTTCCCACTTTTATTAACATTTTATTCCTTGCTATGGCAAGTAACTTTTGCAGTTGCGGTGTCACAAAAAAACTAGCTCAAATTCTTTCCATATTCTTCAACACTTTAGAAACTGAAGATACATTCTTGCCATAAAAATATGACAGTTTTCGCAGAGAATTTTATTTCCATATTCCTGTCATATCCAAAATTTTTAATTTCTCACTAATTAAGAAGGTATATCAGGGTTTCTCTTAAGATAAGAAGCACTGTTAACATCACTATTCATATACTTTAAAATAATTGTATTGTAAATAAGAAAGTTGTGGTAAAATGTTGCTAATGATAATCATAAGATTGCTAAAAACAAAGCAGAGAAAAATTAAATGAGAAAATGTGTATAAATATGGGAGAGAGTCAAATGTTTTGAACGCAGGTAATTCTAGTTCTGTGTTGACATTTTACAGCCATCCAGAGGAATAAATAGTTGCATCCATTAACCCTTTCCGGCATGCTACCTTTTAAAGTCGAAGTTTTGATTAAAAAAAGGTAGGCAGTCTAATTAGGCCTAGAGGAGTACACAAGTAAAATTTTGTGAAGATAGCACTTATCGTTTTAATTCTGTGGGTGTGCCCAAAGTGGCACACTGATTGAATAGAGCTTCGAAAAGAGTGCTGAAACGAGCATTGTTGTCAATGAACTGACCAATGAGATGCGGAGAAACAAAGAATACAAACTCTCGGTTGTCCTAGATTATCGGTGAGTCCGATCTGAGCACGTCTAGGGTTCACCGTTTGATTTTAGGCAAGATTTCAAGGTCAAAATTTAAAACTAATATAGAATAAGGAGATTAGTATACAGCCAAAAACATAACAGAGAAATTTCTTTTCAAACAATTCCTTTTATACCCTAAAAAAGATCTGGAAGATTTCTTTGAAAAATGAGGGTCTTAAAAAACTAAACATGGCTAAAATATATGGACTGGTTTGTGTCGAGCTGCCATCTACTACAAATAAAGAAGGTTCTGAGTAACCTATAAATCCTTTTTCATTCAATTTTTCTGTGCGTACAGAAGGAAATTTTTAGGTGTGCCCAGACTGGACACACTGTGCCGCAAAGGGTTAAGAAAGTGTATGGAGGTGCATATTGTCATAATTATCATGGAAATTTAGTATTTACTTTATTTATAACACTTTTCACTGTCTGTATTTTAGATTTAGCAATAAAATGTTTGTCACTTGGTATTTTGAAACTTCAGAGCTCCCCCCCCAATTCATTATGAACTGCAGATGCTGAATCAAAGAATGCATGGCTATGCAGTCTTTATAATTTGTGTCTATGGCTTTAACATGTACTTTTGCTATGCGTTCAACCTTTTTTCTCTCTTGACCCTTGTCCACATGTATGCATCCAGAACAGATATTCTGACTTCATATATAATAATTTAAAATATTTGTAACAATATTTTATAGTTTTGTATAAATACTCTAAAATACTTTGAGTGTTTTATTTAGTTATCTAAAAGTCATTTTCATGATTTAAATGTTATGAAAACGAACAGCAAAGAATGTCATTATTCAATTCAAGGTCATGGTATCTAAATATAGAATTTTGTTGTGACTAAATCCAAAAATGTTTGCTGCTTAATTACTGCATGTTTGACTGTGCCATGGGAAATGAAAAAGAAATTAATTATACAATTAAATACCATAACATAATATTATCTGCAGAACTTTTTATTTAAGATATTAAAAATTTCCTATTCACATACATGAAGCCATCTGCTGCTGAAAGATTATATTAAAAAGTTAGCTATAATGATAGTTAATGTGTAGTTTTCCTTCAGGTGATTGTTCTTTAGAAGAGGTTTTAATATTGTATGTCACATATATAATTTTTGTTGTCCATGAACAAAATTATAAATGACAGAAATGTTTCTTAACATCTATGTCTTGGTTTCACTGATACATTTTTCTCCCTTTAGTTGTTGAATTTAATGGACAGAGATAAAGATTTATCACCACTAGCTGGCAAAATAATAAAGCTTTTATCTTTACCATATCCTCCACTGAAGCGAGTTGTGTGTTCCTATTTAATAAGGTATTTATGTTTTCTTATATTTTTCAGTCACTTTGTAAGTTAAAAAAAAAAAAAAAAAAGATGGAAACTTAATTACCGTAATTTCGCGCGTATAGTCCACGGACTATCTGTGTTTAAAATGCGAATTTTTGAAGCTGCGGACTATCCACCAGTGCGGATAATATGCTGGTTGTTCACGGTTAAAATCATTGAAATTTAAAAAACACGCTGTTGTGAACTGCCGATGATCAAATATAAAAAAAGCGCGAGATTCCAAGAAAACATTCGTATGTATTTTATCGATAGTAAACCATAGAGCATAGTGCAGAACGAATGAGTAGTAGCAAGTAGAGCTCCTAAAATCCAGGCTGGTGCATCAAGCGATGCCGGGATATGAGCCAAAGAAAGTCTTGTATGAGCATTCACTTAGCGCAACCAGAGTCTTGTATCCCAGTGTCCTTCGCACTGCTTTAGCGCAACTGCCAGAAGGGGGAAAAGTAATTAATGCGTCAGCTCGGTTTTTAGGAGCCATAGTAGCAAGTACCTGGAGTACAAAAAAAAAAAGCGTGATTCGTTTACTTATAAGCGTGGTTTGGCAACATTTTGTCTTTCATCTTCGATAACATTGATGAAACATCGCCAAAGTTTTACTGGAGTTAAACTCAAGGTAGTTGAGAAAGCTGAAAAAGATGGAAATAGAGAAGCCGGCCGTTATTGGTTTAATCCTAGTATTCGGTGCACATGGGATTTGGCTACTTTTGGCGACTTTATGATGAGCAGTGGAAACGGGACATATACGATGAGTAGTTAACGGGTCATTCAAGGAAAATATATAGTTAAACATATATGTATATAGTTTATATACTACATATGTATATAGTATAATATACTATGTGTGTATATACGTATACTATATATATAGACGTTCTTTGGATCATTTTTGGTGTTGGCGATAATTTTCAAAGTCGCGCCAAGGCTGTACCGTATACTAGGATTTTACCCCGTTATTTTGAAGTGGACGAGAAAGCGGTGAGAAATTGGCGCAAACAAAAGGATGTGTTTAAAAAGCATGGGAATATTGCCGTATTAAAGAAACGTAATTTCAGATGTATAGTCCACGGACTATCTGACGATTTTTGAAATTTTTTTTTATATAAAATCGTGTCTGCGGACTATACGTGCCAAATTATGGTAACTATATAGTGATTCCAAATTTAAAGCCCCATAAAAATTTTCTTACATGATTAAAGCTATCAGTGTGAAAAATCAGTTTATTTAAGGGTGGTAAAATTTTGTATACATAGTCAAAAATAATAACTTGAAACTGATAATAAGTGAAAGTCTACTGAAAAATTAAGGAATTGTTAGTATTTAAAATGTGGCATTTAATCCTTATTATGGCCTTCATATTTGTGACAATCACTCCCCCAAATTTAGAGTTTTATCTGAAAATGTTTTTTCCCTTTCTTCTTTCAGGAAGTTTCATATAGCTTTGCTCTTTATTTAAACATTAGGACTGAAAAGCATAGAAGTGCTTAAAATTTCAAAGTGAACAAAATCTGAAATGTGCAAAATAAAATATATTAAGGCATCTTATTAATTACATAGTTTCTATAAAATACATTGAAAATTTAAGAATAAAAATTTCATTGGATGTCGGAGTTTAAAAAGTTGCTATTAGATAGCTATCCAACAAATGATTAAATCAAGGTATTTTTATATGGCAAAACACACACGAGGGCTGTCTTCTGAGGAAAGGGATACTTTTATGGAGGAATTCCTGAGGGAAAGTGGCTTGTATTCATGTTTATACATGTGGAAAACCACGAATAGCACCCATATCTCCAGCCCATTTGTCTGTTCTCTAACCTAGTTGATGAGTATTCAACTGTCTCAGTCTCTAGGCCACTAGTAGGGCCACACAGATAATTTAATTTAAGATTAAGTTTACAGACCTTTTTGTATAACTGTCAGATTGACAGGTATAGGAAAACTTGTATTTTTAAAAATTATTAATTTTGCATACAATCTTAACTCTAGAACTATTGATAACCATCAGTTTGAAGAATTTATAGTTGTTTTTATCACTAAAAATGTTATGGTAGTTTTAATGTTAACATACTTACCAGATCAATCTCTTCTCCGATACTAACTATTCTTTCTAGCAATTAAGTAACTCATCTTCAATTCCTCATGACGACTAAAGAAGGGTATTTTATCAGAATAAAGTAAAACTAGTAATTTCCTCTAATTCTATAATAATGCTAATTAATACTCAGAATAATTTAATACTTTCTTCTCAATTATCTCTAATTGCATTAACTGAAATTTTTTTCTAAGATGTCTTGACACGCTGGCTGGAACTTGACGACTGCAGATTTTCTTTTTGTCTTAAGACTAATGCTTTATGTTTATGCTTTAGGCATGTATGATTGACAGATAATCACACGTGACATATCCCTTGCACTGGTGAACCACAGTACATTGATATTGAGTTCGAAGTTATCGAAACATATTTTTGCTTGGTTATGATTTTTATTTAGCTTCTGCATTTGAATTGCTTTCACATTTACCAGGCAAATAATTTCATAAAAAAAGTTTATTACTGATAACAATGGAACTAGCTTATCCATCATTTTGGTGGGCATTCATCATGCAGAACTCTGAAATTAAAGGGCTGAAGGAGAAATAAATTTGGGTATATATTTGTCTCATTAGATCGATAATTGTCATCATAAATTAGAAAAGTGTTTATTTACTGATGAAGTCCAAATCTGCAAAATGGTGGGTGGAGTAAAATCTAGTGTTAAAAGTCACATAATTTTTTTAAAATTTTTTATTGTTTGCTTGTTTGGATTTCATTATGGCAAAGCACGTAGGGAACCTAGGGTTCCCTTACCTGCCTAAAGGAAGAGATGCTTTTATGGATGATTTACTAGGATGCGTCGCGTTGACGCATGCGAGTAAGACCTTTACGGCTGCGAATATGCTTGTGCGCGTGCGCAAAATATGTTTACGAGTGCGCGTTTAATGTATAACGGACAGTATAAGCTAAGCTCTAATTATCTATTTCAGTTAATGTTGCAGATTGCATTGTTCCTTAATCTTTGAATTGGATCCGGCTTATTATTTTTTTCAAAATTTTAGAGCAATTTTATAAAAGTAAGCTTGAACTTTCGATTATGTCAAATAGAATTTCTGATATATATTTATTAATATGCCAAAGGATCTACAAAACGAAAGCATGTTTCGAAGTTCCATCAAACAAAAAGTGGAATTGCTGCATAAAATGGATAAAGGCATATCCTTTGTTTATCTTTAACGCCACTGCACGCAATGAATTGGAAGTTGATCTGTCAGCACTATCCTTATCTTCAGGGCAGATGTTTTTATTTTATTTGGCTTATAATTCCTTACTAAATGTAGTATTTCATCTCGATGTACACCGTCTTTGATATGATTTAAATCAAATTGCTCATCATTATAATTCGCTTCTGATAGCGAAGAAAGTAACAGAGGTTATTGAAAACAAAAAATTTTCAATTGACAAATTAGTTGGTAGACACAGCAATTATAGGACTTGAACAGCGGAACTTTGTAACTGAACAGGAAATTATGTCTGTTTATAGAATTAAAGAGAATGTATTATCACATAAAAAACGAAGCAGCTTAAACAACTTACATTGAGAAGAAATGTTTAATAAAGTAAACAAATAAATATTAAGCTTTTTTTTTTTTTTTTTTTTTTTTTGTAAATTTTGATACCCTTTAGATCATAATTGTTCTTTATTTCATAAATTACGGTTTCATATTTTTAATTTTATAATTTCTGCATGTCATCTTACCAGATTTAAAGTGATGATCTATAATCCGGAAAAATCGATAATCCGGAATCGCCGAAGTCCCGACAAGTCCGGATTAACGACTTTTGACTGTATATATATTTGCAGATGTACATCTTGAATAAAGAGGTATTCATAGTGCCAAAGTGAAGTCCTGAATTGTGCTACCAAGCACCTCTCTAAGTTTTAAATTTTGGGTCCCAGTGCTTTCCCTAAATTCTGAAAATTTTGTTCATCGCTTACTTTTGCTGCTCGGTGCTTTTTTAAATTCCAAAAATTTTGTCTTTCCTAAATTCTGCCGCCCGGTGCAGCCATACGAGCTCTAGTGCCGGTTCTGGGTTTATATGAATGATAAATCAGTTATTTTTGATTCAGATAACACTAAATATAGTCTTTTGGTTTATGAGTATCATTAACAAAAATTTGTTTCTAGCATATGGAAAGAAATTTTTATTAACTTTTTCCTGATCAATATGTCTTAGCTCATTTAACTTAAATCTGTAACCATTGCCAAGCGTAATGTCAACACAAAAGGTACCATACGTTTTTGCTCTTCAATTACTAATATAAAAAAAAAAAAATTAGTTAGGCATTGCTGCATAATTTATTACTCAAGTTATCATGTTGATAAACATGCAGTGATGAAAGCAAAATATAATAATGATTCACCAGCTTGGCATCAGGGATATAAAATATTAGTAGTGTAAAATCAACGATGTTTCTATGTAGAGAATGTTTCGGTTTGAGATGTATGCCAAGCATTTACATAGCTACGGAGCAAAATTATTGATCATACATATTTTATGCTAAAATGATTGTTTCTTTAATAACAAGGTATTATACTTAGTGCTGAAGTGAAATTAAGAATCGGAACTCTCCACATGTTTTATTATGGGAAAAAAAATCAAATGTGCATGTGCAGAGCATGCCAAAAAAAAGATTGTTGGTGGCTTTGAGGTGTGGATTTTAGATCATTCCGGATATTGGACGTCCAGATCTCGGACTTGTACTGTATTTATATGAAGTATATACAGATTTCACTTTCCACAGAAAGAAAACGATTTCTATCCTTAATACCTGTTAAACAAGAAAAGGCTTGTTCACATGTATGCAATGTTAAAAACTTCAAAAATAAATTAATTGCTTTCCTTTCAACTTTCGGAAATTTATTTTCATCGA